ACAAAGAAAAATGTCAGGAATAAAGAGGAGCATTACATAATGATAAGTGGATATATTCTCCAAGGAAATACAGTAATCTATAACGAGAATGCATCCAACAACACAGCATCAAACTATGTGGGGGAAAAACTGATAGGGTTTCAAGAAGAAATATATGAATCTACAGTTACAGTTGGAGACTTCAACATCCCTGTATCAGAAATGGATGGGTTCATCAGGAAAAAATCAATAAGGATATATTTGACTTAAACAATACCATCAATCAAGTATATCTAATTGGCATTTCAATTCTTTTATCAAACAACAGAATATAATTTCTTCTCAAATTCACATAAAACATTCAACAAGATAGACAAACATTGGCAAGAAAAACACCCTTAACAAATGTAAAAGAATAAAAATCATGCCAATTATATTATCAGACCTCAATGGAATTAAGCTAGAAATTAATAATGGAAAAATTTATAGGGAAAAATCCCCAAATATTAGAGATTAGGCAACACTCTTTTCATGAGTGTTAAAGGAGGAGTCTCAAGAGGTTTTAAAATATCTTGAACTAAACTAGAATACAATTTATCAAAATTTGTGACATGCAGACAAAGCATTAGTTAAGAAGAAATTTACAACATTGAATGCAAACATCAGAAAAGAATAAAGATCTAAAATCAATAATCTAAATTACCACTAAATAAAACTATAAGAAAACAAAATACAAACCAGAAATAAGAATAAAAAGAGCTGATATCAATGAAATTGAAGGCAGAAAATCAATAGTGAAAAGCAAGAAAACCATAACCTGGGTTTTGTCTCTTAAAAATACATTTGTGTCCTAAATGTGCTGTACATTGTGATTTAATGCTATAACTAGTACTCAGACAGTACTTTACACTTTGTGTTTCTGTGTGGGTGCAAACTGTTGAGAGCTTTACTTAATATATATTAAATTGATCTTCTGTATATAAAGAGAATTGAAAATGAATCTTGATGTGAATTGAAGGGGAGAGGGAGTGAGAGAGGGGAGGGTTGCGGGTGGGAGGGAAGTTATGGGGGGCAAAAAGCCATTGTAATCCATAAGCTATATTTTGGAAATTTATATTCATTAAATAAAAGTTTAAAAAATACATTTGTTTCTTTATCTGAAAGGCAGAATCACAGAGAGAGACAGAGTTGGAGAGAGATCTTCTATCTGCTGGTTCCCTACCAAAATGGCCACAACAGCTGGGGTTGGCCAGGCTGAAGTCAGGAGACAGGAACTCCCCCTGGTCTCCTACCTGGGTAGCAGGTGCCCAAGCACTCAGGTCATCTTGTGCTGACATCCAAGCTACCTTAGCAGGAAACTGGATCAGAAGCTGAACTGTGAACCAGCACTCTGATATGTGATGCCAGTATAGCAAGCAACAGCTTAACCCAACACACCACAATACTAGTCCTCAAAGCATTTCTTTAAAAAAAAAAAAATCAGTAAAAACCGTAAAGCTCTAATAGGGTAACAGAAAAATAAGGGAGAAGATGCAAATTATGAATATCAGAAAGACCATAATTTTTGATCCCATGGAAATTTAAATGATGATTAAGATAATATTATGAAAACTCTATTCCACAAATCTGATAACCTAGATGAAATGGACAATTCCTTCATAGACCCAATCTTTCAAAACTTACACAAGAAGAAATAAATGTACAAGCCTATTAAAGAAACTTAACGCATAAGTAAAATTTCTCAAAACAGAAAGCACTAAGCCCAAATGGATTCACTGGTGAAAACTCTAGCAAATACTTCAGGAAGAAATTATAGAAATTCTCACCATTTCTTACAGAAAATAGGAGAGGGAATATGTCCTAACAAAATAAAGAATAACAGGGAAATAACTACTAATGCAATAGACACTTTTAATGATAAAGGTAGGCATTCAGTCTAGCAGTTAAAATATCAGTTAAGACACTGGCATATCAGATTACAGTACCTAGGTTTGATATCCACGTTTGGCTCTTGACTTCAGCTTCTTGCTAATGCAGACCCTGGAAGACTGCAGGAATTGTTCAAGTGATTGGATTTCTGCCACCACAGTGGGAAACCTGGATTGAGTTCCCAACTCCTGGCTTCAGTATGACCTGAGTGTGTGTCTTCCAGGTCTCCCATGTGAGTGCAGGGACCCAAGCACCTGGGACAACCTCTATTGCTTACCCAGGCCATAAGAAGAGAGGCAGATCAGAAAAGGAGCAGCTGGGATTTGATAGGTGCCCATAAGGGTTGCTGCTGCCACAGGCAGAGGATCAACCTACTATGCCATAGTGCCAGCCCCACAAGTGTTCAATACTAAATAGGCAATTTGAACTGCTCTGTAACCGTTAAGGAAATAGAATTTTTAATTCTGTGTTTTTCAAAATTTAAAACATAGGGTACAGTGCTGTGGCATAGCAGGTAAAGCTGCCGCCTGCAGTGCCAGCATCCTATATGGGCACTGGTTCGAGTCCCAGCTGCTCCATTTCCAATCCAGCTCTCTGCTATGGCTTGGGAAAGCAGTAGAAGATGACCCAAGTCCTTGGGCCCCTGCACCCTTGTGGGAGACCCCGAAGAAGCTCCTGGCTCCTGGCTTCAGATCAGTGCAGCTCCAGACATTGTGGCTAACTGGGGAGTTAACCAGCAGATGGAAGACCTCTCTCTCTCTCTCTCTCTCTCTCTCTCTCTCTCATTGCCTCTCCTTCTCTCTCTGTGTAACTCTTTCAAATAAATAAATAATTTTTTTTAAAAAGCAACTTCTTAGAAGTAACATTTCTCAATCAAGACAATAAATGACAAACTCACAGCCAGCACCATATTGAATGGGTAAAACTGAAAGCATTTCCAGTAAGATCTGGAACCAGACAAGGATGCCCACTCTCACTACTATTATTCAATATAACTCTGAAAGTTTTAGCCAGAAAAAGAAACCAAATGGGTACAAATTGGAAAATAGGAAGTCAAATTATCCCTGTTGACAAATAACATGGTCTTGTATATATCAGAATAAAGACTCCACTGAGAGACTATTAGAACTCATAAGAGAAATTGTCGGCTGGTGCCGCAGCTCACTAGGCTAATCCTCTGCCTTGCGGCGCCGGCACACCAGGTTCTAGTCCTGGTCAGGGCACCGGATTCTGTCCCGGTTGCCCCTCTTCCAGACCAGCTCTCTGCTGTGGCCCGGGAGTGCAGTGGAGGATGGCCCAAGTGCTTGGGCCCTGCACCCCATGGGAGACCAGGAAAAGCACCTGGCTCCTGCCTTCGGATCAGCGCGGTGCGCTGGCTGCAGTGCGCCGGCCGTGGCGGCCATTGGAGGGTGAACCAAAGGCAAAGGAAGACCTTTCTCTCTGTCTCTCTCTCACTGTCCACTCTGCCTGTCAAAAAAAAAAAAAAAAGAGAGAGAGAGAGAGAAATTGTCAAAATTGCAGAATATAAAATCAACACACAAAAATCAATAGCATTCTTACATATCACCAATGCTCTGAGAATTAACTTATAAAGTCAGTCCCATTCACAATAGCAAAAAAAAAAAAATTTAAGATTTATTTATTTGGAAGTCACAGTTACAGAGAGATAGAGGTAGAGGCAGAAAGAAAGAGATCTTCCATCCACTGGTTCACTCCCCAAATGGCCCCAATGGCCAGACCTGAGCCAATCTGAAGCCAGGAGCCAGGAGCTTCTTCTGGGTCTCCCATGTGGGTATAGGGGCCCAAGGACATCGGCCATCTTCTACTACTTTCTCAGGCCATTGGAGAGTTGGATCAGAAGTGGAGCAGCCAGGTCTTGAACCAGCGCCCAAATGGGATGCTGGCACTGCAGGCAACGGCTTTACCTGCTATGCCACAGCACTGGCTCCACTACCAAAAAAAAATTATAAATACTTGGGATAAATTTAACCAAAGATGTGAAAGATCTCTACAATTAAAATCACAAAATATTAATGAAGAAATAGAAGATTTTTCAAAAAATTGAAAAACCTTTCATGTGGATTGGAATTAATATCACCAAAATATCCATACTACCTAAAGCAATTAACAGATTCAAAGTGATCTCAAACAAAATTAGAGAACATTTTTCTCAGAACTAGTTAAAAAAAATCCTAAAATTCATATGGAAACATAAAAGACTCCAAATAGGTAAAGCAATCTTAAACAATAAAAACATATTGCGGGGCCGGCACTGTGGCTCACTTGGTTAATCCTCCGCCTGCAGCACCGGCATCCCATGTGGGCACCAGGTTCTAGTCCCGGTTGCTCCTTTCAGTCCAGCTCTCTGCTGTGACCCAGGAGGGCAGTGGAGGATGGCCCAAGTGCTTGGGCCCCTGCACCCGCATGGGAAACCAGGAAGAAGCGCCTGGCTCCTGGCTTCGGATCAGCACAGCGCCAGCCGTAGCGGCCATTTGGGGAGTGAACTAATGGAAGGAAGACCTTTCTCTCTGTGTCTCTCTCTCACTGTCTATAACTCTACCTGTTAAATAAATTAAAAAAAACATACTGCAAAGCCTCTAATAATCAAAATAACCTAGTACTGGCACAAAAATAGACAAATAGAACAATGGAAAAGAATAGGAAATTAACTCATACATCTACAATTGACTAACCTTTGATAAATGTCCTGGACAAAGGACAGTCTCATCAACAAATGGTGTTGGGACAGTGGATTTTCACAAGCAGAAGTTTGAAACAAGATCCCTACCTTACACCCTGTACTAAAATCAACTCACAGTCAATCAAGGATCTGAACTTAAGATCTTAAATTGTCAAATTGCTAGAGGAAAAGATAGGGGAAATTCTGCAAGACATTGACTTGGGCGAAGATTTCCTAAGACGGAGAAGCACAGGCAATAAAAGAAAAATAGATAACTAGGATTACATCAAGGAAGAGATATGTAAGCCTTGTCTTCTTGAAAGCCAGAGGACTTCCACAGAATAGAGATGACTTCTTATTCTCCACAAAAACACTTCTAAAATGTGACAATTTACAAGTCTGCTTCTGATACCTGTTTCGCCTGGTGACAGAAATTCTTTTAGAGTTATGTACGGAGTCTTGGTTGTTGTAAAACAAATGAGTGGCCACAATGTGAGGAGATTTCTTTTTCGTTAAACTAGCAAATCTATATGGTTACCAAGCATCATAGGATCTCCATCTGTGAACAGAAAAGAAGCTTCATTTTCCAAAGTTCTGTATGACAAAATTACCCTTTTTCTATTGCCAAAAACTTGAAGATTATCACAGTTTTCAAAAGAAACATGACACGAGAATTCTGTGATACCTTTAGCATACCCAGAGCAAGCAAAACCAAAAGGAAAAAATGGGAACTGGCTATGTTAAAAGATACTTTTGGTCTCATCCAATTAGAGAATGAAGCAGGATAGAAAAAGTGCCAGTTCTACGATGACTGCAATTTTTTTAAATCAACTATTCTATTTGACAATTTGCAGTCCACAAACTAGTTGTACAATGCTAATTTTTTTTCTGATAATAGATCATCATTCATTTTTCAAGCTAATAAAAAAATGCATGGGGAGTCCCAAATAAAAGCATTTTGTAAAAATGGAAAAGTTGCATTTAGAAGTATGCCAACTTCTTCAAATTGAACTTTTCTTATCAGGAAAAAAATCCACATCCTGAGATGCATTTTCAGGACAGGCAGAAGTGAAATGTTTTTTGATGCTGTGTGGTTTCACACTGCAAGTCAGAATAATATTTCCACATAAATAAAACCAGGCTGACCTTTAAGACCTAAAAAGTTCAAACTCAAACCATTTGATTTGTGATCTTTCACAAGTTGCCTTGTGGAGCAAGCTCTCAAGATCTGTTAATAGTTTTTGTAGACTGCCACCAACACTGAGCAGGGAAAGAAATGATTCATATCAGTTAGAACTTAATAAAAAACAAAATATACAAATTTTTGTATCAGTGTTCATGAGTTATGTGAAACTAATAGGACACTACACCCTAAATCAGTACCACAGGATTGGAAGTAAGGTGCCAAGAAAAATCTGATGTTCACAAGCACAAAAATCATAAGCAGCTCCAAAAATGATTTTTGTAATTATTTTGTTATTCATTGTGACTTTTAATCTGAAGTAGCATATTAAGAGCAATATGGTGAATGTAGTTTGAATTTTAGTGACATTAATCTAGGCTTCAATCTCAGCTTTGCTCCTTGCCAGATACCACCACTAGGTTTCTGCGAGGTCTCCATGAGATGATGCATATGGAAGTGGCTAGCCTCATGCATTGCCTATAGTAAGCCTCTAATAATAGTAGTTTTGTTCTTTTTTGCTTCACCTTTTCCCCACCATCAATTATAAGTGAGAAGAGCTAGATGTGTACTCCAGGTTTTTGTCCTTGTCCTTGTAAGCAGGCACTCCTCCACCAGATTTTGTTAAAGGATCATTATCTGGCTCTAGCTTGAGTGTGTGTGTGTGTGCGCATGTGTGTATATTCTAGAAAATCAATGCTATCCCTAGAAGCCCAAGAACAAGGCCACTGATCCATTCCAAAGCCAGAATCCATTCCCTCAAAGCAAGGACGTGTGAAAACACAAACTAAAAGGACTGTTCACCTATGATATCACCAAGACCTCAGCTACTCACCCTCGAGCCAAGAGAGACCAAGAACATGAGGACACAATGTTCTGCCTTCTCCTCAGAGCAGGGTACACAGTAACTGTGCTGAGTGGCGGGCCTTCTTGGCAGAGAATACATTCATGGATTACCATGCCTAGTGAGTCACAGGCATCATGTATAGTGGCATCAGATGCCAGACAGACCATCAGGTGCTTCAGGAAAACAGAACCTGGCACTCATCCTCATGACTTATGTGATGGAACCATAGAATGCTGGAGTTGTAAAGGACTAAACGAATGGTTAAGATGTAACATCACAGATATGTGACTGGCTGAAGATACAAAGAGTTACACAGTGATCACCCACAGGTCTCCAGACTCCCAGGAACAGGCTCTTTGCATTACAACCACACAACTTTCGTTAGTAAGTTCTAGCACGCATCCTCTCCTATCTCATGGTGAATGAAGAAAGAAATCATTTTCAAAATTAAATTGGTAAGTGAGATGTTGAAATTATGAGTAGGTCAACATTTATTTGGAGCTAGAAAATTCTGGAATCCTAACTGGAAATAATAGACTGGAGATTCAAAACTCAGCTATCCTTTCAGACAACACCTGCCAAGGAGAACCCTGAAGGAAGAATAGAAACTGAAAACCCATTGATGTTTCACTAGACTGTCTGCTTCTTTGATTCTAGTGTCACTCTTTATCAATAAACAGAGCCTAAAGCAGATAAAACAAGTGACAAATGAAATGCCCAGGGATACTGCCAAACCACAGCTCCAGTCTCAGGGCTTTGCCTTCTTGGTAAGCCTGAGGCTGTCCTGAAAAATTCTATCTGGATTCAAAAAGCCTATCTGGAAATATGGCAGAATATAAATAGAATAAATTCAAAGACCACAATTTGACTTTCTATGTAGAATATAATTATTTTCCTTTTACAACTTTTACTTACTTATTTTTCTTTTTTGAAATGCAGAGAGACAGCTAGAGGTCTTCTGTCTCCCTAAATGCCCATAAAAACCAGGGATGGGCCAGGTTGAAGCCAGGAGCCTAGAACTCCATCCAAGTCTCCTCTTTGGGTGGGAGGGACCAAGTACTTGAGCTATCAACCTGCTGTCTCCTAGTGTGTGTTTTAACAGGAAGCTGGACTGAAGCAGAGGACTGGAACTTAAACCAGGCACTGGAACTTAAACCCAAGTGGCAACTGAAATACTGCATTAAATACCCACCAAAAAATCAATTCTTTTCAAAGGAACAAACTGTCTCATGTTTAAGTCTAAGACTTTTGGCCCTCAGACAAAAATGGGCTCCAAATTCTGACTGATCACACACAAAAAAATTGCCTATTTTACGGCATCTGACCCAAGATGTTATTTCATCCAAAGTTCATCTGATGTCTAAAAATCTCAGGTCCGATATTTTAATGAACATATTGCTCCTATAATTAAAGGACATGTGGTTCAATGAGGTTTTACTTCACCCCAGTTAGAATGGCTTTCCTACAGAAATCAACATCTAACCCATGAAAAAAATTGAGCAGATACAAAATGTGTAGTTGTTTCAGATCAAGTTGTGAAATAATTGTAGGAGTGATTTCACAACTCCACGAAGTCAAATAATCTCTGGTCTTGTAGCACGGATTTCTGGTAGGAGAAAGAGTTCTGAGCTGAGAATCGGAAGTTCTAAGTTGAAGGCTGACCGTGTCTCTTCATCTTTCCTTCTCCTGCTTTTCATACATAAATAAGGTAAGTAAGGGGCTACATGAGCTTGTATATCTCGTTCACTGCTCTACTAGGAACTGTGCATCATATTGAATACCTCAGTAAATATATGCTGAATGTACACATGAATTTCAAAGAGATCTTGAGTCATGGTTGTGAAAAGGATGGACTCTAAAATGAGAAAGTCTTGCTTTGAATACCAGCACTAGTCGTCACTAGATGTGTAGCCATGGGGCAGATTCTGGACGTCATCAAGTCTCAGATTCTTCCTCTGTGAAATCACACTGAAAATAATAAGATCATAAGTAAGAATAATGTGTTTGGCTTTTCATCTACGTAGGATCCACATCTGCAGATTCAATCATGATTGAAAGTTTTTGAAAAAACTTTGTGACTGTACTGAACATGCAGATGATTTTTTCTTGTCACAAGTCCCTAAGCAATGCAGCATAACAATAAGTTACATAGCATTTACATTGTATTGAATAATGCAAGTAACCTAGAGATGATTTAAGGTATATGGGGGCTTCTATGTTTTTTATGTCAATACTACACTATTTTACATGTTGAACATCCATAGATTTTTATATCCACAGGGGTTCCTGAAACCAATCCCCTGCAGATACTGTGGGAAAACTGTAGTTACTTAATTACTAATACTTTTTTAAAGATTTATTTATATTTGAAACGCTGAGGGACAGAGAGAGAGGGAGACACGCAGAGAGAAAGAGATCTTACATCTGCAGGTTTACTTCCCAAATGGCCACAAAGATCAAGCTGGGCTAAGCTGAAGTTAGGAGCATGGAACTCCATCTGCATCTTCAGCATAGGTGGTAGAGACCCAGTGACCTGGACCATCATCCACTGCTGTCCAAGGCACATTAGTAGGGAAATGGATCAGAAGCAGAGCAGCTAGGACTTGAACCAGTGTTACAGTATGGGATGTCAGCAACATAAGCAGCAGCATAAACTGCTGCACAACTCTGGCTTCTAATTAATATTTTAAAAATAGTAGGTTCAGGGTCCAGTGTTGTGGCATAGCAGGGAAAGCCACCACCTTTGATGCCAGCATCCCATATGGGTGCTGTTTCAAGTCCCAGCTACTCCATTTAATCCCGCTCCTTAGTTATGCACCTGGGAAAGCAGTAGAAAATGGCTCAAGTATTTGGGTTCTTGCACTCATGTGGAGGACCTGGACAAGGTTCCTCGCTCCTGGCTTCAGTCCGGCAGAGTCCTGGTCATTGTAGCCATTTGGTAAGTAAACCAGTGGGTAAAAAAATATCTCTTGGGGCCAGTGCTGTGGTGCAGCAGGCTAAAGACCCAGCCCACAGCACCAGCATCCCATACAGATGCTGGTTGGAGTCCCAGCTGCTCCACTTCTGATCCAGTTCTTGTATGTACTTGGTAAAGCAGCAGAAGATGGCCCAAGTCCTTGGGCCCCTGCACCCATGTGGGAGACTCAGAAGAAGCTCCTGGCTCCTGGCTTTGGATTGGCTCAGCTCCAGCCATTGTATCCATTTAGGGAGTGAACCAGCAGATGGAAGACCTCTCTCTCTATGTCTCTCTTTCAAATAAATTAAATTAAATTAAATTAAAAAAGATTCTCTCTCTCTCTCTTTTTTTCTCTCTCTCTCTCTAACTCTGCCTTTCAAATAAAAACAATATTTATCTCCAGGGCCAGGTGCTGTGACACAGTGAATAGAGCCACTATTTGGAATTTCTACATCCCCTATTGGAGTGCCTGGGATCAAGTCCTGCCTCAGTTTCCTGATGATGTAGGAACCCTGAGAAACAGCCATTCATGGATCAAGTAACTGGGTCCCTGCCACTCATGTTGGAGACCCAGATGGAATTGCAGGCTCTAGGCTCTGTCCTGCCCCAGGCTCAGCTCTTGCTGGCATTTAGGGAGTAAACTAGTAGATGTAAGTTCTCTCTCTCTCTCTCTCTCTCTCTCTCTCTCTCTCTCTTTCTCCCTTTCAAACAAATAAATATATAAAAATTAATAAGCATTGAAGAAATTTTTAAAAAGTGGTTCAGTGTTTTTACTATCATTATTCTCCACGTGATGAGGACAGCCAATGAACTTGAGGTCCAAGGAGAACATTGTGTGACTGGTACCCCTTAGGCATGAATGGTAACTAGCCTATGATGAAGGATAAACTTTCTGTCCTGGAGCTCAAGGATCTGAGCTGGCAGCCCGTGGCTTTTTCTCTTCCATACAAGAGACTTCTGCGTCAAGATGAACAAACACATCTTGCTGCTCTTCTCTCTCCTCTGCCTCACTGTGGGTGAGTCCCAGACCTGAGACATGAGCTCCATTGGCAAACTCTAGGGAACCCCGGGAGAATTCCACTTGTTCCCACAAAGTACTGAACTTTAGCCACATTTATGAGACAGGGGAAGACAGCCTGCAAAATTCTCCCGCTGCCTTCCCTGCCACTTTCCATTCTTTCTAACATGTTACCATTCCCTCCCAGGTAAGTAAGCCTCTTCCACTGCCCCTTCATCCTGTTTCCTGACCCTCTGTTCCTAATACTCCCTATCATCCAAATCCCTAGCAAGATTTTCCTTGGGTCATTTTCCCCATCCAAAATCTGTATCCCATCTATTGAGGGAGTTTGTCAGTCTACTACGAGTAATTTTGTGGTTTGTTTTAATGCTGGAAATTAACTTTTGATGGACTTTTTCATGAGCTTTATATTATATCAGGCAAATTCTAGAAGAGGAAAAACTAGTTGCCTTGGAATCAGATATATTTTTTTAATGTCTTAAATTCTCTGTACCTTTGGTTGCTCATTTGAGAAGGTGTCACTAATTGTGCCATAATCCAAATTCTTTACTTAGATCCAGTTTGAAGTTCAAAATAGCACAATATGTCACCTAACAATACCTAAACAGAAGCAATATACATAAAAAAAAACCCTAAAGTGTAGAAAACTCTATAATAATAACACTGGCTAGGATAAAAATAAGTCACTCACCATCATTATCACATTCATGTGTCTCCACAGCCCTGCCAAGTAGTCTGGGCCAGCATTAATAGTACTGCTTTTAAGCTAGAGAAATCAACCACAGGGAGGCTACATTTTTGCTTGGAATTATCTGCATTAAGAGAGCTGAAGTTCAAGGTATGAAATCAACCTAGTGTCCAATAGTGCAATAACTGATCAAGAAAATGTGGTATTCATACACAATGGAATAGTACTCAGAAATAAAAAGAAGAGAAGTCTCATTTGCAGCAACTGGATAGAACTGGAGGACATCATGTTGAGAGAAACAAGTGAGGCACAGAAAGACAAACACCACATGTTCCCACCTTCATGTGGAAGGTGCAAATATTTTTTTATGCTATTCAATATATGTAAACTAGAAAAAAAAGCTGATCTCAAAAGAGTAGAGCACAATAGTGGTTACCAGGGCCTGGGAAAGGTGTCAGGGAGAGAGGAGTGGTTAGAGGGTACACGATGCTCATGGAGACGAGGACCAACAGTTACTATTCTTTAGCAAAAAAGAACAACTGTGGTTGGCAACAATTGATTGAATATTTCAAAATAGCTAGTAGAAAGGATTTTGAATGTTCCCAACACAAAGTAATGGTAAATGTGTTAGGTGATAACAGGTATGTCAATTACTCTGATCTGTTCATTACATGTTCTATGCAGGTATTGAAATTTCACAGTATATACCACATATGTACTCTCTATGTATCAATTAAAAATAAAAGTATATTTTAAAAATAATAATAAAAGGCTGACGTTAGGACCAGGCTACTTTCATTTGCACAAAGACACTTTCTGTCCATCACTGTGGGATGAAGAGTAGGTCACAGCTTCAACTGTTTACCACCTATTTACTCCACACCAGCTTGTCATCCACCCACCCCACATCCCTCCACCCCAAGCCTGAATATTTTCAACTACATCCCAAGTCCCTGCCTCTGCTTGGTCTCACATCAGATCTGTGCTTTCTCCAGCAGTGACGTCACTGATTTGTGTAACATGCCACCTTCGCACACAGACAGACCGCTGTAGAAGAGGCTTTGGTGTCTGTACTGCTCAGAAACACGAGACATGCATGATCTTAAAGATCTTACAGGGTAAGTGAGAGGGCTAGAGGTGCTATGAGATTCTTAGAATTCTTTCAAAAGGACTTCAGCAATGTTATAGCTCAGACTGAGGCCAAAGCAGAGGAAGAAATCAAGTGTGGAATGCAACTGAGTGCAGGTAATTCAAGTTCCTGTTAAATGCAGATAGACCAGTACTGGGACTACCAGGCAGGAGCACAAAGCTGGGAATTCTATATTCCCAATAAAACTGACCAAATAGCTGGCCGGCGCCGCGGCTCACTAGGCTAATCCTCCGCCTTGCGGCGCCGGCACACCAGGTTCTAGTCCCGGTCGGGGTGCTGGATTCTGTCCCGGTTGCCCCTTTTCCAGACCAGCTCTCTGCTGTGGCCAGGGAGTGCAGTGGAGGATGGCCCAAGTGCTTGGGCCCTGCACCCCATGGGAGACCAGGAGAAGCACCTGGCTCCTGCCATTGGATCAGCGCGGTGCGCCGGCCGCAGCACGCCAGCCGCGGCGGCCATTGGAGGGTGAACCAACGGCAAAGGAAGACCTTTCTCTCTGTCTCTCTCTCTCACTGTCCACTCTGCCTGTCAAAAAAAAAAAAAAACTGACCAAATAGCATTTGAATTTGAAGACACTAAAGCACTAATTGCTAATCTTCTAGCAAGAAAATAAATAAATAAATAAATCAGCTACACAAGGTGGTGAGGGTTCTTGGCGAACCCAAACCTGCTATAGCTAGCCAGTGATTTCTGCAACTCTCTGACTGCATGCTCTTGACAAGTGTCAACTGAGAAACCATTCATCTACCTACCCTGATGCCTGATTAAATGTTCAAGTTTGACTTGCCTTGGAAGATCTGGATCATCAGCTTTTCCTCTATGATTCTTTCTTATTACAGATGGTGTTCTCCAGCTATCATACATGGTATGTCAGAAGTTCTGCAGAGAACGGACATATGAGCACAACAACCGAAGCTTTGTTCATAAATGCTGCAACTCCAATTATTGTAACTACAAAACCTAAGATCTTTGCCCTCCTGAGGTTTCAGTGTATAATGTCACAGATGTTGCTCACCCATCACACTTCACCTGCCCCAGCTGCCTGGTCTGACAGTACATCTGCTATCTCCTTAACTCAGTCATCCTTTCTGATACTGTCAGCCTGGTCCTGCCCTTGGTCAGGGGATAATGGTTCTGAACAATTGGATTTCTTCTATGGAAAAGTTTGAATTTCCATACTCCAAGAAGCCTGCTTTCAAGAGTCCCTACACAGTAAGATTTAAAACAGGACGGTTTTACAATCTTTCAATTAGCTGAGGTAGTTGAGATGAATTAGAAAGGCTTCGGTTGTGGCCAGGGAGTGCAGTGGAGGATGGCCCGGGTGCTTGGGCCCTGCACCCCATGGGAGACCAGGAAAAGCACCTGGCTCCTGGCTCCTGCCATCGGATCAGCGCGGTGCGCCGGTGGAAATCATTGTGATTTTATTGACATTTACAAAGCACATCCTTAACATACTTCAGTAGGAGACAGAAAATAAGGGACTTCCTGTCTCTGTGACATTCACAACTCCTACAACCACTGTGTTCCTGTCATGACACACATTTAAGGTTCATCACAACTCTCACTTCTTTCCTCTCCTTCCCTAATCTTTCCTAATTCCTTTCATCCTTGGCCTTCCACTTCCATCATCACCTCTCCATTGCTATATAAGCTCTTCCTCTGGGAGCAGAAAGGCTTCAAAGTTTTGCTCAGTGGCCCCTGTGGTGTAGAATTTAGAGTGGGCTGTCTTTCAGAGGGCCTCAGCTGTAGAGTAAAGTAGGCCATACACAGTCGAGATCCCCTCAACTCAGGGAAGCCTTTCCAAGCCTTGAGGAACTGACTGAGACTTTTTTTTTGTCCTTTGCTGCCTATCTGTAATTAATAAATTTGCTTTGCATAACTTTTGTGTGGGAGTGTTTTGTCCCAAAGGACTCAGACTAATAGGAAACCTGTGCATGCTAGACCTAAGTAATAGCCCAGGATGTGGTGGAAAGTAGTATGTGGACTCCTGTTTCTGGAGAATGGCACAGAAGTGATTGTTGCTATTGTCCATTCAGTGATAATAGGTATCACGCTTCCATCTCCAAAGAATCATTTGCCTGTTCTTGAACTTATTATAAATGAAATTAGACAGAAATTATTCTCCTCAATTAGATTCTTTCATCACAACAATATTTTTAGGATTATGCATGTTATTGCTTATATCAAAAGTGTTAAATTTGTTAAATCTCTTCTCTTATTGATGGACATTACATAAGTTGTTTCCAGGTTTGAGCTATTTTGTGAATAAAGCTACTAAGGATGCCCTTGTGTAAGTCTTTTAATGGACATACACATGAATTTATCTTGAGTGGCAATTAAGCATAAAATTTATGAATCATAGTGTAGGAATATTAATAACTTTAAAAGAAATTGTTCACTAATTGGGCAATGTGGTGGAATTCATTGCACCCATTTACAGTCCTACCAGCACTGTGTGAGTGTTCCAGCTACCACACACATGTCATCACCAATTATCATCATTTAAATTTTATCTATTCTAGTGGAGTGAAGTGTTATCTCATATTTTCCTGATGATTGTGTTGAACAGCTTTTCATACTTCAGATTAGAGAAGAATCCACTCATATTTCCTTCTAATATTGTTGATTAATTACCATTTATAGGCTCTATTTTGAATTTATCTCTGAAAGAAACTACTGCAATTCTGTATATATTTCCATATGGTTCTCCAGTTGTCCCAATAATACTTATTAAAAGTTCATATTTTCCCACAAATTTACAATGCTTCTTTTATGATAGCTTAAATTGCCATTGCCATTTAATTCTAATTCTAAAATTCAGTAAAAATTCTCTCCCCATTTCTCCTACCTGACAACATAGGCAAAAGCAAACTCAGAATGGATTAGAGGCTGACTAGAAAAAGTACTAGTACTCAAACAGTATTTTTCACTTTATGTTTCTGTGTGGGAGCAAACTGTTGAAATCTTTACTTAATATATGCTAAACTGATCTTCTGTATATAAAGAGAAATGAAAATGAATCTTGATGTGAATGGAAGGGGAGAGGGAGTGGGAAAGGGGAGGGTTGCGGGTGGGAGGGACGTTATGGGGGGGAAGCCATTGTAATCCATAAGCTGTACTTTGGAAATTTATATTCATTAAATAAAAGTTTAAAAAAAAATTCACACAACAATTTAGATCATCAAGTAAATCTTTTCAAGAAGTTACCTTCTCCATTTATTAATATACTAAAATCATATTATTTTCCTTATAGAGGCTTTTTGGTTTATTTGTTTTTGAAAATATGAACATTTAAATATTTTGATTTATATAAAGGGAACAAATTTCATGTATTTCATATATACAGTTTTAAGAACATGATACTTTCCACACTTCTGCCTCCCTTGTTACCACTCTCCCTCCTCCTCCCTTTCTTATTTTTCTTTAAATTTTTGCAATGACATACTTTCAATTTACTTTATAACCACATGCTTAAACCACAACTAAATGATGAATTCAACAAGTAAGTAAGTAGAAAAACCACTATTACAGAGGAGTATAGACAAAGACTATAGACAAATAAGGGAAAACATATGATAATGGTCTTTTGGGGACTGCCTTACTTCACTAAGCATAATGGTCCCCAATAACTTACATATATCTGGGGTGCAGTATAATATTTCAATACAATGTGTAGTGATCAGATTTGAGTAATTAGTGTGTTTATCATCTCAAACATTTTTCATTTCTTTGTGTTGGGAACATTGAGAAACTTCTCTGTTACCTAGTCTGAAATATAGAATTTATTATTATTTTTTGTTTTTTTTTAACTTTTATTTAATGAATATAAATTTCCAAAGTACAGCTTATGGATTACAATGACTTCCCCCCATAACATCCCTCCCACCCGCAACCCTCCCCTTTCCCACTCCCTCTCCCCTTCCATTCACATCAAGCTTCATTTTCGATTCTCTTTATATACAGAATATCAGTTTAGCATACATTAAGATTTCAACAGTTTGCTCACACACAGAAACATAAAGTGAAAAATAATAGATGATTTTTTAAATGATGATGAAATCAGATCAGACCTATTGTCATGTTTAATCCCAGTGAGAGTCAAGTAGGAAATTGATAATTTTTTTTTCAGAAGATCAGTATAGTATACATTAAGTAAAGATTTCAACAGTTTGCACCCACATAGAAACACAAAGTGAAATATACTGTTTGAGTACTCGTTATAGCATTAAATCTCAGTGTACAGCACATTAAGGACAGAGATCCTACATGAGGAGTAAGTGCACAGTGACTCCTGTTGTTGACTTAACAAATTGACACTCTTGCTTATGGCATCAGTAATCTCCCTATGCTCCAGTCATGAGTTTCCAAGGCTATGGAAGCCCTCTGAGTTCTCCGACTCTTATCTTGTTTAGACAAGGTCATAGTCAAAGTGGAGGTTCTCTCCTCCCTTCAGAGAAAGGTACCTCCTTCTTTGATGACCTATTCTTTCCACTGGGATCTCACTGACAGAGATCTCTCATTTAGGTCTTTTTGTTTTGCCAGAGTGTCTTGGCTTTCCATGCCTGAAATACTCTCATGGGCTTTTCAGCCAGATCCGAGTGCCTTTAGGGCTGATTCTGAGGCCAGAGTGCTGTTTGGACATCCACCATTCTATGAGTCTGCTGTGTATCTCGCTTCCCATGTTGGATCACTCTCCCTTTTATTTATTCTATCAGTTAGTATTAGCAGGTACTAGACTTGTTTATGTGATCCCTTTGACTCTTAGTCCTTTCATTATGATCAATTGTGAACTGAAATTGATCACTTGGAATAGTGAGATGGCATTGGTACATGCCACCTTGATGGGATTGAATTGGAATCCCCTGGTATGTTTCTAACTCTACCATTTGGGGCAAGTCAGCTTGAGCATGTCCCAAATTGTACATCTCTTCCCTCTCTTATTCCTACTCTTATGTTTATCAGGGACCACATTTCAGTTAAATTTCAACACTTAAGAATAACTGTGTATTAATTACAGAATTAAACCAGTAGTATTAAGTAGAACAGACAAAAAATACTAAGAGGGATAATGTATTAAGTTGTTCATTAACAGTCAGGGAAATGCTGATCAAGTCACCTTTTCTCATAGTGTCCATTTCACTTCAACAGGTTTCCTTTTTGGTGTTCAGTCAGTTGTCACCGATCAGGGAGAACATATGATATTTGTCCCTTTGGGACTGGCTTATTTGACTCAGCATGATGCGTTCCAGATTCCTCCATTTTGTTGCAAATGACTGGATTTCATTGTTTTTTACTGCTGTATAGTATTCTAAAGAGTACATATCTAATAATTTCTTTATCAAGTCTACCATTGATGGGCATTTAGGTTGGTTCCAGGTCTTGGCTATTGTGAATTGTGCTGCAATAAACATTAGGGTGCAGACCGCTTTTTTGTTTGCCAATTTAAATTCCTTTGGGTAAATTCCAAGGAGTGGGATGGCTGGGTCGAACGGTAGGGTTATCTTCAGGTTTCTGAGGAATCTCCAGACTGACTTCCATAGTGGCTTGACCAGTTTGCATTCCCACCAACAGTGGGTTAGTATCCCTTTTTCCCCACATCCTCGCCAGCATCTGTTGTTGGTAGATTTCTGTATGTGAGCCATTCTAACCGGGGTGAGGTGAAACCTCATTGTGGTTTTGATTTGCATTTCCCTGATTGCTAGTGACCTTGAACATTTTTTCATGTGCCTGTTGGCCATTTGGATTTCCTCTTTTGAAAAATGTCTCTTGAGGTCCTTGGCCCATCTCTTAAGTGGGTTGTTGGTTTTGTTTTTGTGGAGTTTCTTGATCTCTTTGTAGATTCTGGTTATTAACCCTTTATCTGTTGCATAGTTTGCAAATATTTTTTCCCATTCTGTCTGTTGTCTCTTCACTCTCCTGACTGTTTCTTTTGCAGTACAGAAACTTCTCAATTTGATGCAATCCCAATAGTTGATTTTGGCTTTGACTGCCTGTGCCTCCCGGGTCTTTTCCAGAAACTCTTTGCCTGTGCCAATATCTTGAAGGGTTTCTCCAATGTTCTCTAATAACTTGTCGGAGTCAGGTCATAGATTTAGGTCTTTAATCCATGTTGAGTGGATTTTTGTGTAAGGTGTAATCTTGCTTCAACTTCTGCACGTGGAAATCCAGTTTTCCCAGCACCATTTATTGAATAGACTGTCCTTGCTCCAGGAATTGGTTTTAGATCCTTGGTCACATATAAGTTGGCTGTAGATGTTTGGGTTGATTTCTGGTGTTTCTATTCTGTTCCATTGGTCTATCCTCTGTTTTTCTACCAGTACCATGTTGTTTTGATTACAACTGCCCTGTAGTATGTCCTGAAATCTGGTATTGTGATGCCTCCGGCTTTGTTTTTGTTG